ATGAATCAAGAATGTAATAAAAGAGAGTGCAATTAAACATAAACGCAGTGTCCTTGCTTCATTGAAATATCACATTCTCCAAAGCTCAAAATACTCTGTATGACCTTGTGATGTCATGAAGCAGTAGTTTTCAAGTAAACCAATACATTTAAGTTCAGTAGAGTTTGGTAATTCCAGGGACCTGCATGAAGTTGGCCTTGCATCAACCGCAATTGTTTGTGCTGTTTTGTGCTGCAAAATGTTTTGTTTGTGCTGTTTTAGTTTTGGGGATATTAATGATTCTTTTGTAGGGTATATTAGGGTCAGCCAGCCACCAGGAAGCTTAAAAATGCTTCAAAACTGCCCAAAATTGTGTCAATCATTTGTGCTTTGTTTGTACTGTAAAAAGTTTCATTTGTGCGATATGATTCTTAAAATATTAGCAGTTTTATTTTTGGCCAGTGACGTCATCCAGCTCCTCAAAATGTCAAATAGCCTCAAAACAGGCAGAACATTATACAAAAGGTTTAAGCAGAAATTACATCATGTAATTTCCGCAAAAAAGATAATACATTTTAGAAATATATTAGCACAACTGAAAATTGCCACAGCAAAAAACAGCACAAACTAAGCACAAACAATTGACACCATTTAGAGCCTAGAAAGCCCTCTCTGTTAGCGGATATCCAAAATGGGCCTTCAACAAAACCAAGAGAACTGAAAAACAGAACAACAGAGAATCAGAACCCTGAAGAAAAGGGGTAACTATTCCTTACATGGCTGGTGTTTCTGAAAAACTACAGAGGATCTTCAGACAACATGAGATCCTGGTCTATTTCAAACCTACAAACACTCTAAAACAGAGCCTGGTCCACCCAAAGGACAAAACACCAAGCCACAAACAAAGCAATCGGGTCTACTCCATTCAGTGCAGTGAAGACTGCAGTGAACGCTACATTGGAGAAACTAAACAGCTACTTCACAAGAAGATGTACCAACACAGACGAGAGAGCAGCAGTGGACCTCAGTCTGCTGTACATCTCCACTTAAAAGCCACGGGCCACTCATTTGAGGACAGTGAGGTACAGATTTTAGCCAGAGAAAAGAATTGGTTTGAGAGGGGAGTGAAAGAAGCAATTTTTGTTAAGAAAGAGAATCCTTCTTTAAAAAGAAATGGAGGACTCAGACACCATCTATCTCCTCTTTACAACTCCATCCTCAAACGTAAATCAAAAGAGAACAACAGGTGTAGCCAGATCAGATCCAGAGGTGTGGAAGCTCCATTATGGCCAGGAATTATTATGTTAATGAGACCCCACACCCTGCACAGGTCAATAGGCCGAACTGACAAACAGAAACTGTAAACAAGTAGGTGTGTTAGTTTCAGTTAGTTAGCTCCTCCCTGCAGATATAAGGAAGTGTCCACCAGCGTCTGACCAAAACTGAAGAAGGAGCCTGGATGAGCTGCTAAACGTCTTCAACCAAACTAACTTTGGTCTGTTAATAGTAATTATTTTAATATTGATTGTTCTCTCACTTTGGATTGCAACACTGAAATGTTCCCATTGTGGGGCAAAAAAAGATGATAGTTCATAAAGACTCACCTGATTTATAATATGGAGCAGACACAGCTTTATGAACTATGACCTCTGCTCCTGTCACCTGAGTTCTAGGAGGAGCTATCAGGTAAATGAGCCCGCCCCAAAGGTTGTGCACCAGCATCTTCTCAGAAGTGACTGGGAATCTCTCAAAGACACATGGGGCCCTCTTTAAGTTCTTGTGTCTGAGGAAGTCTGTATGGCAACTGATCTGCACCTAGGAATATCAAAACAACAGAACTAAATACTAAAACAAGAAACGATAATATGAACACAATACAGCAACAATAATCATGAAAAAAATAAAAAATAACAATTCTTTGCATGAACTCCTCCCTGCTGTTTAGTCTCTACCTGCCATCTTCCCTGTGCCACAATATTCAGTTGGTACGGATATATAAGTCTTCATCCCAGGAGAAAGATACAGGCCGGTACTGAGCCACTCCGCACCACCTACCAAAATGATGAGCTGTTTTGTTTGATTAATTTGTTCGACTGTGCAGAGCAGCGCAATAGGAACGTCTTCTGTAGAACTCTGTGATTGTCCCAATTATCTGGAGGAGCTCGGAGTAGAGCCGCTGCTCCTCCACGTCGAGAGGAGCCAGTTGAGGTGGCTCGGGCATCTGTTCCGGATGCCTCCTGGACGCCTCCTTCGGGAGGTGTTCCGGGCATGTCCCACCAGAAGGAGGCCCCGGGGAAGATCCAGGACACTTTGGAGGGACTATGTCTCTCGGCTGGCCTGGGAATGCCTCGGGGTCCCCCCGGAGGAGCTGGAGGATGTGTCTGGGGTGAAGGAAGTCTGGGAGTCCCTGCTTAGACTACTGCCCCCGCGACCCGGCCCCGGAAAAATGGATGGATGGATGATTTTAAGGTGAATTATGTAACTTTTCTGTTGGAAGGTCAGCCATCTGCTTGTCTACATGGAGATGTTATGGATGTTATGTTATTTTGCCTGGGATATTTCAGTATGTTAATCTTGTTTATCTCCATGGAGACAAGAAGGCCACAATTTACAGATCAGATCTACTCACTGCCCACATTTAGCACGTAAGAATGTTTTTTTTTAGCAATATAACATGACAAGCAGGTGAAAAGTTACATAGTGCACCTAAAATCTTCAACACAAGTCTATAACAAAAAATGATAGAAAAAAGAAAACTTGTGTTCAGACATTCTCATATTTGACATATTATTGTTAGAAACAAATATTTTTTTTAAATTTTAAACATCTGATGCCACATTCCTCTTTGCTGTTGAAATAGGTTGCTGGTTTCGACATCGTTGGCTGCATCATCACCACTAAGTCTGGAAAAGTGTTTCCCACAGCACCAGACGACTGGAGGTGAGTATTGACAGATGATGTTGAAACGTACGTCTACGCAGGAGATTATGGGTTCAATCAGTGCATGATCTGCAGAGTGTCTGCCACTATCAAAAGACATGTTTGAGTTCATTTTCCCCTCCTTAGTTAAAAATTGTAAAAGACCATAATTGCCTTAAAGGTGCTATAATACACAAAATTGACTCTTGTGAGCTTTAAGCCATGTTAGAATGTTGTTACCTCCTCAGAAACATAAATAGAATTGTGTTTTGTTTCATTCAGACATCTTTGAGTAACCCTTTATTATTAGTATGTCTATATCTCCAAAACAGCTGCCTTTTACTTTTAGTTCAATAGACATTGGTAATTCCAGGGCTGAAATGGTCCAAATGTCCATATATGACTACAGAGAAATACTCCATAAACCATAATACTGAAAATACTGAAAATATCACTGACAGAATAACAGTAAACCATTTTAAAAATAGACAGTATCATTAAAAGGACTGAGCTGGAACAAATGAACAGCAGAATGAACCAATAATTAGCCATAGAAGTTATTTATTCAATCCTTATTGTATCACAGCAGATTATATTGTTCCAGCTTTCATATATTGAACGATAAGTTGATATAGAAATGATTGTGACAGGCCTTTTGACTCGTAGTGCATGGAACCAGTTGACATGGATAAATGCTTACCGATATGTTACAGGCAAATAAGGAAATCAAGCGTTCTGTAGAATGCCGAGGCAGAATATGCAAATTCTGTGGCGTGCACTCTGATAACCAACAGAAACGAGATAAATAAGCAAGAGGCAAATGCAAACTTATGTAATTAAAACATAACAGTGTATTGTACAAGAAATTATTGAAATGCTTGAAGTGGTACAGTGAGTGTGTGCTTACAGTAGGCCAAATGTGTCTTGTGAAAGATCAACACGTACCACAAAGAACATAAAATATGCAAGATTAAGAATATGAAGTCGAAGTTTTTTCCACAGTGCAAATAACAACCCCACAGCCACACTCCAAGACAGTTAGAGCTGAGTCACTTTACACCTGCAACTGCTCATCTACATGGTGCCTCCATCTGTTACTCACTAGAATTCTAAAGTCCTTACTCAACCGTTTGCTGTCACCACTTGCTTGCATAGTCATGTTAACTTTAATCTGGAACATTCTCATGAGCTTTGAAAACTACGTTCATCAAGACTGCTCTTCTTTCGGAGCAACTGAAGCAGTTCTCAGTCCATCTCAAATCTGCCCCTTTTTCTTATTCTGTAAAGTATTTTGAATTACGTTGTGTACCTTGTGCTATACAGATAAACTTGCCTTGCCTATTACTGTATGTGTCAGAAGTTGGTTGTTAGAAAGACTGGAAAGAACCAATGTTTTAGTTCCACATTTCCATGTGTGCCTAGTTAACTTATCACTCTGTTTTGCAGCTGCTTTTTTGTCGTGCATTATTGATCTGAAAGCCACACATCACACACTCATTGTGCCTTTTTCTTCTGCTGCTATTAAAGAACATTCTCAGTTCATCCAGTCTCCTGAGTCTCTGACCGGAATCAACTGTCTGTACTGGCCCCTCCAATCAGCATTGTTCTTATTAAGCTAATGTAGACATCACAAGTGGTTAAAGGAAAAAGCAGAGGCCTGTATGGTCCAGTCAAAGAAACACTTCCGAAAAGTTTAACATTTTGTTTTGTACAGGGTTTGCATATTAGACAGGTAGCTGTTATGCTAAGCCTGACTACTGTAGATGACATTTAAAACAAACTAGATAGGATATCTTGGTGTTTTATTGTACTTTTCCTATGTATCGTGCTCCTATCTGTATATCTGTGTTTTTGTCAACTTCTAGGTGAAGTACTTTGGTCAACTGAAGTTGTTTTAAATGAGCTATATTAATAAAATTTAACTGAAGTAAATAAAATGATCAGTTTTCTCTGTGTTTCAGGTTTTTGTAGCGAGTGGTCCTGGCATATACAGGAAGCCAGTGGTGGGAATGTGGACCCATTTGTGTGAGAAGGTTGTTTTAACAGCTTATTCTATTATTTTGACTGACAGCACACAGGTTTAACATACTAGTGGTGTGTCTGTTCACAGGCTAATGAAAGCATTCCTGTTGACAAGGCACAGAGTTTCTATGTTGGGGGTAAGACATTTTTGGACTAGTTTTACATATAGTGTTTGTTATTGTTTTAATGAAAAGATAAAGTGTATTTATCAGGAACAGTGAATGAAGATTAAAAAAAAAACACTTTGTCATAATACAGAAGTTAAAATGCAAATCTGAATTTGTAGCTGGTTAGTAAACAACACTATCTATTCTCTTCAGACACCAAACTCTTGCAACGGCAAATGGTACCCTATCATTATAGCTAAAAATGAACAAAATACAGTTTTGCAAAGCACAGTTTTTGTAAGAACTGATAAAACTTATACACATAATTTATTGTATCACTTTCTTCTATAGACGCTGCAGGAAGGCCAGAAAACTGGGCTCCTGGGAAAAAGAAGAAGGATTTCTCCTGTAGCGACAGATGTGTAAGATTATATTTAACATGTTTGCATTTCCATTTACTTTATTATGCAGAATTAACAAAAAACTACACACAAATATGTACTAGAAACGTGTGCACAAACCTCTAACTAATAGATTTTCTTTTCAAGTTTGCCCTCAACATTGGACTACAGTTCCACACTCCTGAGGAGTACTTTCTAGGATGGAAGAGCGCCCCCTACAATCTGCCTGAGTTTGACCCTGTAAGAAATAAGTATTTCAATTTACCATTGATTTAACCATTTTGATCTTATTCATATTTTTTGATATATTTATATAAAACACTACCTATGAAATATATGATGTTATTATTATACATTTATGTGTAATGTGTAAATATAATGTTTGATTTTTCTTTTGTAAATATTTGATTCTTTTCATTTCTCCAGAGAAAGCTTAACTATAACGCCAGACTGTACGACCCACCATCAGCCTCTCTCATCTCAGACAAAACAGAAGTTATTGTTGCTGTGGGTTACCCTGCATGTAAGTATAATCAAGTTATAAATATGGATAGGAAGAAAAGGACAAAGTTCCCTATGTAAGAATCTGGAGATCTTATAGAATGGATTTGTAGATGCTCTGAATTAATTTTGAAATAAGATTTCAATTTCAATTGTTTTTATATGATTTCTTCTACCAGTCTGACCTCTGCTCTAAACCTGAACATTGGCTGCAGATCTCTCCATTAAAAACAGACAGGCATATCATTGAAAATTAGACATGACTGAATTGTAACCTTGATTAAAGTTCAGACAATTTCACTGCCTTAAAAGAATAATAATCACATTTTCAATTACTTTTTTCCCCCTTGTTCACAGCTGGAAAATCAACATTCTTTCACTCTCATGTTATTCCAAAGGGCTACGTGTATGTAAACAGAGTAAGTGATCAGTCTGCTATTAATTTAACCTTTTCATATTCACAGGTGAGACACTTCAGTTTGTAGCTGTGGTATAAGCGCATTAAGGTGCTATATTACAGAAAATAGACTCTTGTGAGCTTTAAGTCATGTTATAATGCTGTTACCTGCTCAAAAACAGACCTGGAGTTGTGATTTGTTTCATTCACACATGTTTGAGTAATCCTCTGTTATTAGTCTGTGTACATTTCCAAAGCTCAAAATGTTCTGTTCCACCTTGTGATGTCATGTACTGGTAGTTTTCAAGTTAACAGCTACTATTATCTTTAGTTCAGTAGAGATTGACAGTTCCAGAGCTGAAATGATCCAAATGATTTTGAGTGCAGGTGTGTAGAGTTTAAAAAACACAGTGGAGCTCTACCTGTATTACCACATGACATAAGGTGGAGTGTTTACTGCTTGAGAGAAGAACTCAGCCTAAATATGCAGGGTTTGTGTGTTAAACTTGTGTGACTGAAACAAAGCACAACGCAGGTATGTTTGTGATGAGGAAACAACTTTACAACATATAGATTTTTAAAAAAGCGTAATATGGGCCCTTTAAACAATTTTGCATTTGGCATAACACAGCTCCTTCTTGTTTAATGTTTACTTGAAACATAGACATGTAATATTCAGTCTATGTTTAGGACACATTGGGGTCGTGGCAGAGTTGTGTTGCAGCCTGTGAGCGTGCGCTGAAAGAAGGACGCAGCGTTGCGGTGGACAACACCAACCCAGACCCAGAGTCACGGAAACGGTAAAACTAAAATACTGATACTTGACATGACACTGGTGGTGTTCTACATTTATCTCTATTGGCGGAATGTTCAGCCGTTACCTTGGTGACACAATGCACACATTAGCAAACACAGACAAAAAAAGATAAGATAAGATAAGATAAGATATGCCTTTATTAGTCCCACAGTGGGGAAATTCTAGTGTTGCAACGTGCAATTTCAGAACAGCAGGAAAAGGTAACATACAATAAAACAGATAATAAATAATAGCTTAAAAATAATTTAAAAATAGACTTAAAAATAATTGCACATGGATATAATTGAATGGCACATGTTCAGTATTAACAGTGTTTGTTGTACAGTCTGACAGCAGCAGGAAAGAAAGACGTGCGAAACCTCTCCTTCACACAGCGAGGGTGAATCAGAGTGAAAAAGGTGTGTCATGGTACTGTTTACAGGTTTAATTTTTTACAAAAAAGGTGAGAGTGACTATCTGAAAAACTGCTGGCTATTGCTAGAGACTTGTTGAAGTGCACAAGTCATATGTTCACCTGTTGTAGTTCCAACTAAGTCAGCTCTTTCCTATAAGATTAAAATAAAGATCAGATGAAAGGCTAACTTGAGTAACAGAGCTAACATAGTAGCTCGTGCTTTCAGTGCAAAGTACCAGTACCGGTAGTACTAAGAGAAGGGGTAGTAATGACTTATGCCTTTATTAGTATACATATTTAAATGCATAATGATGAATTGAATAGTTATAACTTTAGGAAGCGTTGCTATTGATGACATGTTGATTGATAGTGTTTTTGAGAGATGCTTTTATGTAAATAAGCTGACGTCTGTCAAAACTTGCACAAAGTCTGCAGATGGAAAGTAGTTTGTAGCTAAATCTAGAATAGAGCATCTTTTCTCTTTGAGATTAACCTAGTCTTTGCACTGTCCTTGTTTGGATAAATAAATAAATTAATTAATTAATAAAATAAAATAAAATACTTAGAAGCTCTAAAGAGCACATTACTATTATAAATCCAGCCATTCTATATTGATTAAATAAACAGTATAAATAGACGCTCCAGAACATCACAATTTTGAAATTTGAATTTATAAATTTGACAATAAATTCAGGAAAGAATTTCAGTAATAGACATGACAACCAAAGACAACATGCTCTTCACATCTCCTGTTCTGCAACTTCACACTCTTGCACAGATAAAGGCTTCTCTTACTGTGCATAGTCCTCTAACTGTTTATGTGCATGTCAAATACTGTGTTAAAGCCACAGTATGTAACTTTTTAGTAAACAATTCAGTTTTATTGTTGATGTTATTGTATTACACTGAAAAACATGTATCCTTACTGTGAGCAGGCTTGCATCTCCACAAACCTGACTCTTATTTGTCCTGGATGAGGGCCACCTCCTGCTTGTTTCCATGGAAATGGAAATTTCTCCTCTGAACATAAATGTCCACAGTATGACATAAACTTATTTATCTCCATGGAAAATCGTCCAAAGCATAGTTTTATTTGAACATTGTACTTCCATGGTACCATGCAGGTGACGTCACAATCAGAATTAGTCATTACAGTATAAAATACTGTTGTGTTATGTTTTTGAAGTTTTCATTTTCTAATTGGTGAAAGAGTCTGTCAGTCCTCTCCCTGGAGAAAGGTCAGGCAGGTACTGTTGGCTTGGCTTCAAACTATACATAATCTTTAATGATGTTTTTTTGTATCTTCAACAGGAAACACTTTGTGGCTCCTACGCTTTCAGAGGGATTTTCTGAGATACTTCAAATCCACTTTGTGCCCAGTTTCAGAGACAGCCAATCAGAAGCCCTGTTCAGGCAGTTCTCCGAAGGATAATTTGGATAGAAAATAAATGATGTTTTCAACACAAGAGGCTACAGATAGAAAGAGTCAACAAAATAAATCTAAGTTCATGTATTTAACAATAAGCAACACTAAGAAAGAAAGCACTGCTGTCAGACCTTTATTTCTTAACCTTTGCTTTTCATGTGTCAAATGTATTACAGTTTAACATTAAAAATGATCATCGGAATAAATGGCCTGTTATTGGGATGATTTGAAAAGAATAAAAAGCTATTTTGTGTCATCTTTTTATCTTTTCCTTTAAGGCTCTTTTAAAGTGTCATACTTATGACATTTTCAACTTTTTTATGTCAGGAACTGAATTAAAATGTAGGCCCAAGTAGTGTCAACATGAACTGTTTGTGGTTGAGAGTTCAGTATACCACAGTGTCACTGCTGCACTCTCACGATGGTTTTGCATAAGCAGCAGTATAAATGATCCTTCGGACAGACCAACAGCAGTCTGCCTGAAAAGCCAAATAATATACAGTAAGTAAAAAACTTTTTGTAGTTTTATTTTAAGGTTATTAATGTGGTTACTTCCTTGTTGGCTGGATCTGTGGGAATGCTCAAGAGGGTCTACCCGAACCAGGATTAAACCAGGTCTTAACCAGGTCTCATCAGAACAGAGAGAAAGAGAGGGAGAGAGAAATAGAGAAAAAGAAAGAGAAAGAGAAAGAGAGAGACCCAAAGTCCGCGGAGCAGGGTGTCCGACGATCTACACGGGTGGATTCCGACAGTGAGTCCTGGTCCTGGTTTAGTCCTGGTTTAGACCTGGTTTAGTCTTGATTTAGTCCTGGTTTAGTCCTGGTTTAGTCCTGGCTTAGTCCTGGTTTAGACCTGGTTTCGTCCTGGCTTAGTCCTGAGTCCTTGCAGAATTGATGTCTGACATCGTAAATTGCATTATATTTCTCCACTTCGAGGATTAACTTTTTGTCATCCATCAGTAACCTTTCCTTAGATGCAGTGCGCGTTGTTTACGTCATTCTCATGACTTTGTTTAACTTATTTTGAAAGGGTATCGGAAGTTTATTTTGACACCGCGTGTTTATTTCCTGTCTTTCCCCTCCTGAAAATCCATGGATCTATAAACCTTGGAGACGCTCCGTTGACGCTGCAAAATTAGAAGTCCAACCTCGTTTGAGAGGCTCTATTAAAAGGAAAGATACATTTTTATTTTTTTTTAAATGAGAATGCACGTTGTTATCTTACTCAAGAAACGCACAGCAACAATACTGATGAAAAATTTTGGTCAAACCAATGGGGGGACAAAATATATTTTAGTCATTGCACAGAGAGTTTAGCGGGGATCGCCACTCTCCAACATGATTTTCCAGGGAAAATAGTTCCCACAAAAAATTATACTTCGGTCGTTGGTGAATGTGCATTTCTGAGAAAAATTTAAGATTTTTTATTTTAGGAAATATTTATGGTTATAACAACCTCAACCAAAACAAAAATTTTATCACAGAATTAACCACCACAATGAAAGAATTGTCTATTAGATAACATAATTGTGAGGCGATTACAACATGGTAATGGATGAACAGCTTGACAGGTGCCCTTCCAGATTCCAAAATTATCAAATCAACCCTGTGTTAAACGAGTTTCGTAATGTGTTCAAATTAAGTGATGTTTTTCGCATTCTCATTTCAGATGCAAATATTCATTTGGTTTAAACCAGATGGTACAATTAAGTCTAGATTATATTTTTGGCAGATCTTTGAACTTCATCTGACTTAGAAGTCAACATTATGGTATCTGCTGTACTGCTTACAGACCATTGTCTGGTAAAACTCACAATTTCCCCTAAGAGCCCATGTCAAAGAAACAAAGGCTATTGGAAATTAAATTTGAATCTTCTACATCATGAACCCTTTTGCCAAGATATAAAAATAACGAATGATAATATAAATAAAGATAAGTCATTAACAAATTATATAAACAAATAGGAATTCCTGAAATATAAAATTCGTCAAATTTCTATTGCCTATAGCAAAACAATAAATAGAGCCAATAAGCAAAAAGAAATGGATATTGTCAAAGAACTCCATGAGTTATGCAATAAAACTTTACTAAGTGAGGAGGATAAACAAAGGCTAATTTTACTGCACTCTTCTTTGGACAAAATGTATATTTCTAAAGCCAAGGGAGTGTATATCAGATCAAGAGCAAAATAGATAGAGAAGGGGAGAAAAAATTCAGCATACTTTTGTAGGCTAGAAAAAAGGAGACAGGAACGGAATTCAATAACACTGTAGTAATTGATGACCAAGAATGTAATGATCCTGCAAAAATCTCAAAAGAAATGTTTGAATTTTATAGCAGCCTATACTCCACCTCCTACTCCCATAATGACGCCAAGGCTCTTTTTGACTCTATTAAAGAACACATTCCCAAAATTTATGAATATTTAAAAAGAATATGTGATGCAAAATTAAAAAATTGAGGAAACAGAAAAAGCTTTAAGATGTTTAGCTCGAGATAAATTCCCAGGTACAGATGGCTTAACAAGTAATTTCTACAGGCACTTCTCGAATGATCTAAAAAATGCAATATTCAATATGCTTAAAGAAATTTCAACAACTCTCACTTTACCAAATACAATGACTATTTATTATTACTTTACTTAACAACGATTATAAAATCTTAATCCATATATATGCAAATAAACTCAAAACTGGCATTAATGATATAATATCAGACACCCAGTCAGGTTTTATTATAGGGCGCTTGATACACAACAGAATAAGACTCATATATGACCTAAATGACTACAATCATTTAATAGAAGACGACGGGTTCATCTTTTTTTTTTTTAGACTTTTTCAAAGCCTTTGATATGACTGAACACAAATGTATGTTTTGTACATTAGAGTATATTAGTTAGAGCAAACAAACAAGCCACAAAGGAGATCTGTGCTGAACTGTCTTGGTCTGCCTGTCTTGATCAGCGATTAGGTGCAAACACTTCTAATTTATTGGTGGCCATATTATTATTATATCATACTGTGTTGGTACAGACGCACGTAAAATACACGCATAATGATGTTCTAGAACAACATGCATATTTTTCGTGTGCTTTGCACATCAAGATGCGCGTTTTTTATGCATTGATTTACAGAATTGAAAAAGAACTAAATGAAAGTTTGTTTACAGAATGGCTAGTGGTTCATGGTACAAAGTACAACTATTTCACTGAGGCTTCCTTGTGTATTGGCCCTAAAATACTGTGGAGTGAATTTTCCCAAATGCAAATCTGCTTAAAATGTTAAATGTTCACAAGGATGTCATGCAGCCAACACATTTGAGTAGTTTTTCAGATGGGCCAGACACCTAACAGATACATGACAAGTGGAGATATTTCTCTGGTAACTTTAACTTTTCACTTTAACCAAATATTTGAACACCACAGCAGGGCTTAGCTGAACCTAGACAATCCAGTCCCCCACTATAGTTAAGGAACACACAGGTTAATTAGCTGATGGGCAAAGCAAGAATTTATTCGGCCATCATGAAGTTTGGATTTTAGTTTCAAACATTTTATTGTAAAATTGGTTTGCAGGGTGAAATACAATATTCTCCTTCACTCCTTTACTGTGTTTTTCTACAGGATTCACGACTCAGCGCCTGATCCACACATCTTCTCATCTCTCCATCATGTCTGTGTCCAAACCGCAGGAGGCCTATGCCTCAGTCATGAGCAGCATCAGGGAGGTTAATTTTGAGGGCCCTTTTGTCGCTTGTCAGTTACTCTTAAGTGGAGACCAGTCTTTCCCATTAGTGATGAACAGTGAGGGGCATGTGCTGATGGCTGCCTCTCAGTACGGTTCAGGGCGTATCGTCGTGTTTAGTCATGAAAGCCAAATGTACACATCACCAGATGTAACTTTGAATGCCCTAAACTGGCTCAAAGGAGAATCTGGCAACATGTCTGTAGGAGTACAGAAGAATACAGATGGAAAAGTGATTGACAATCTTCGCAAGGCTGGTTTCAAAGTCATAGTAATGAGTGACTTCAGCGGAGCTCAGGATGTTGGGGTGTATCTGACATGCGCCTATTATATTAAAGAAGATGCACAAAACATAGTTACATTCATGAAATCTGGAGGAGGGGTGCTCATTGGGGGACAGGCCTGGTCGTGGAAAAGCCAAAACCCCACAGGGAACACTCTGCTGCAGTTTGAGGGCAACACAGTGAGTGCAGCAGCCGGGATACACTTCAGTGACCTTTATGCAGTATCAGAGAGAGTCCCCATCTGCCCCCAGATACCAACGTCCTGGAAGTCTGTTGAGTGAGTCCTGATTTACATTACAGTCAAAAAATGTTCCCTGACTGGACCAATGATGTCAGCCAGCTCAATGATTAATCAAAAACCAGCCTATTAAAATGTCACCAAATGCCTTAACAAAATAGTTGTGCTGCTATGTTGCTGTATTATATATTTATACTATATTATAACCTGTGTATTGTTTTATTACAGCCTCCAATATGACTTTAAGGATGACCTGCAGTGCCTGCTTCAGGGGGTCTCTCAGTTTGAATGGGCTAAACATTTGGCCTCTGAGATCTTGGTCCACGGTCGCCTTTCTTTCCCCATCGGCTCCACTGAGGACGGGAGAGTGTTTGTGGCCGGAGGTTACTATGGCAAAGGCAGGGTGGTCGTGATTGCACATGAAGCTTTATTGCATGCAGAGGTATG